CCCCAAAACCCCAAAACCCCAAAACCCCATACTCCTTATAAAAGTGATTACAGTGGAATAAGCTCGATAATAGATATATTAGATTAGTAACCTTAATCTGAAATTAAAGTATGCTTATTATTGTGATTACTGCCTCAAATATTTCAAAAAACGTGATGCTTGTCTGATTCTTCATCTATTACTAAGTCAAGATTTGGAGATGATTACCCTGATCTTGATGAGATAACTGAGTATGACTTAGACTTTCCCTTTTTATCAGTAGACTGATTGTTTACGTCATTGCCAGATGAATCTAAATAAAGATAAGATATTCATTGAGTATGTCTTACTTTTATTGTTATGTCTGTAGAACCAGAACTGAGAGAGAATGCAAATGTCTGTGCAGATTTAAAAGAAAGCACAACCAACAAGTGAGATAGGGCTATGATTGCCAATATAGTAAGTAAACTTGTACATATCGCCAGCTAGCCATATAAAGATTAATACTACTGATAATCCCTCAGTATTCTTCTTTTTGTAATTCAAAAGGAATTGAGGGACTCCAAGCAAAGCCTCGATTCCTACTGATAATTATTCAATGATGAAGCTATAGTTCTCTGACTTTTAAAAGATGACAGTCATTCCAAAGGTGATTGCTATCAAAGCACCAATGTGCATGAGATACATATTGAAAGAATTCCAATTCCAGAATGTCTCGATATCAACAGTTTCTTATTGGACTGTTGATGCTGTAGTGACACTATCAGCAGTGGTATCTAGAAATGGTCAAAAATATAATATGTGACATACTCAAAAGATTCGACTCTCTGCTCATTTTTCTTTCAGCTCTGTTTGGAGTGTCTTATTCATTTTGATTTGAATCTGTATCAGCAATTTCTACTTAGGTTGCTCTATTTTGCATTCTAATAGTCACCGATAGGTATAGTAGTACAACCTAAAATCAAAATTAAAATGATGACGATGATTTACCTAACATCCAACCATCAAAATAGCAGCTAACAGAAGCACTGTGGAAAATCTAGCCATGTGCCTGAATCCATTAATGATGTTATTCTTACCACCAGAAGATTCTTAAAATGTTGGCAGTAAGAAGAATAAGACAGACTAATGGTGAGAATCCTTCAGAACTTTACTCTTTTTTCATCTTAAAGCATTGAATGATATAGCCAAAGCAAGGACCAATAATCATTCCTATTTAAGGAAGTTTAAAGCAGCTAGTTAGGATATTAAATACTTACCCGCATCCATAACATGAGACAAAGCTAGCCCAATAGTTGTGGAGAAAGTAGACATTTTCTTTAAGAAAGTTATAGGAAAAATATTATTTATGATAATACTTATTCTGAGAATTAAACCTATTTATTATCAACTCATAAATTGATAACTTTATTTCTCATCGCGGGGTTTTGGGGTTTTGGGGTTTTGGGG